GCCACGGGTCAATAGCCCATTCGGCTTCGCCTCATGGGCTATTGACCCGTAGCCCTTGCGGGCTACGGGTCTAATTGTTAATTAGAATGCAGTAGCTGTCTGTCGTCCACGAAATGCGACGTTTTTATAGTTTTTTCGAAGTTTTGGAAGAAAGTTTGGATGTAAATGGATAATTAAATTCCTGAGAAGACTAAAAGAAGGAGATAAACGGATTCCTGACTTTAAAAACTTGAAATTATTGAAAAACCGGTGCGCGCGCGTAAACAACTGCAAATTTACCAAAGACGATTCAATACGTGCGATTTTGTTAAAGCGTAAAGTTCAATAATGCGTCGAAAAATATTTGGAAACCATTATTTGCGATAGTTGATTCGGCCTACGGCCTCATCAACTATCGCCTCATAGAAATCGAGAGCGGATAATCTAATTGTTAAATATGTTCATGAAAATCGTTACTGTTTCAGTTTAGTTTTAGTTTACAAAAGCTTTTGCAACACTGTATGTATTTATGATCATGCAAATAAAGCTAGTTGTTGTTGTTAGCGTTGAACTCGCCGGATTGTGTCTTTTTCGCTAGATGTAACAAATAACTCCATTATTTCACGTAGATAAAGGCCGTCTGTTGGTAATCTCCATAGCGTGAGTACATACTGAAGTGCAAACTACTTGTGGTAGACACCTGATTGTGACAGCCTTGCGGAGAGTTACAACTAGACACACCGATCCCTAAGGCGTAGTCATCCGGGTTACATCCATTAGGTGACCGAGGTAGACTGGTGTCACCGATGCAACCAATACGACAGATGTGGGTCCCAGGCTCCGTGTTGGGATTTGCCACCAAGTTACAAAGATTTCCCAAGTTAAGACCGCACCATTCCTTCAGAGAAGAAAACAAATTAATTCGCTATCGTCTGAAAAACAAATTCATACAAATTGCCTTTGTTTTCTTATCCAGTAAGAATAAATCATTTTTCAATTCTAAATGCAGAAGGTTTATTTTCCAAAGACTGGCGCGTTTCCAGCTACGTACAAATGAGACTTAAATTGCGTACGTAAAGAAATTCAGTTTAGGAATTAAAGTAATTATGGAATTTCTTACTGTTTTTAAATGCCCCAGGTCCAAGTGTTTTCCAAGCTTTTTCATCAGAGTCTCAAAAGTGTATTCCTCTTGCACTTCGATTGCGAACTGAGTACCAAAGAGCTGAGTAAGCGTCAGACCACGATTATGCGTAAAGGTTGCGCAGTCACTACGAGGACCGCTGTAACACACGCGTAAAACTTGATTTGCCACAGAAAACCAACCTGGGTTTTTCATGGATGATGTTTTGGTGAGGTCAGCGGCATCCCAAGGACTCACTACGTCCTCGTTGGCCCAAAGCGGACTAGTGGGCGAGAAATCTCCCGACATGCCTGCGATGCGTGCCACTAGAGTCCAGCCTTCGTTCTGTTCTTGGCATGTCGATTTGATTATTTCACAATGAGTCTGCAAGATAACAGATGTCAAATTTGATTTCCTTAATTTTACCAAATTAAGGTGGTTTAATAGTCTCTGTTGCACCTAAATGATAACATAATCGTTCATTAATTACTTCTCTTTTTTATCGTGATGGACAGTTTTAAGTGTAGACAAGATGCGTATCATGCCAGATGAAAATATACTTCGTATAAAGTCTACTCAGGAGTGCATCGCGACGTACCTGATAAGGTCTGCCGCGAGCAGCTTGGAGCCAAAAGACACCACTCTGAGCGCCTGGAACAGAATGTAAGACGTCATCGCAGGATTTTGCTGGGTTCTGAACGGAACCAAGACCGTCAGTAGGCCTAAGCAAAAGAACAATATTTCTACAATTTAGGCAACAGGCCATATTCGTATTCTCGGTATTGGACTGGAACTAGCTTGCAACTGAGACTAATGCGGAGAGTCTTTTCAAATGCAAATGACTCTAATCGCTTTTTAATGATATTCCCCCGCAAGAGCCTCAATTGCAAGCTAGTTCCAGTCCAACACCGAGAATACGAATATGGCCCATTAGCTGTTGTGGCAATAAATTAAACGAATACCAGAAATAAACTATCAAAGTTAGCATAAAAAACTAAATATAAGAAACGATTTGGAATACACGAGACAAGAAATATAAGCCATAGAAACCGACGTTTCGGTGAATTTAAGCCATCATCAAGGTTACATAATTAATGATAAAAATCAGTTTGTGAAGAGGCTAAGTTGACGCGAATTTGCATAAAAGAGTGCCAAGCTCAAACACAGTCTCAAGAAATTGAACCCTAGCTGACAGGAGTAAAACCAGTCGGCTAATTGCAAGCGTCACCGAGGAGTGGAACTCGGTTACCCCGTGAAATATCTCCCGCTATATAGTGAACAGAGCAGAACTTGTCCTAACCTTTCGGCCACGCTGCCTCCTCGTTGTGAGAGCAAGGTAATTACACAAAAAACGTTTCTACACGCGTCCGCGCTGGAAGTGAATTGAAGGACTTACAAAACCAATCTGGAAAATCCCCGACTTTCTGGAATTGCTACGTCCGAATCAGCTTGAGTGTGAACATCAAGTAAAAGTTGATATTGTGAATTTCATTTTACCTGGTTACCTTTCAGTAAGTTAGTCATAGAAAACTGGGTTTGGAGCAGGGTGGCGCGGTAAGCTCAATGGCTAATGATCGCAGCAAGAAATGGCAAGAGGCAAAGATTATACTACATAATATATAAAAAACTATACCTTCCTAACTTATTTCGAAGAGGCTTAAAAACAAATGACTTTGTCATAAGATTTTATTTACTTTATCTTTATTAATTTAAAAACAGAGTCCCCTGAACGCCGGAATTTTTCGATTCTCTGGTGTTCTTACGGACGAATGGTAAAAAAAATGGTAGGAATATTCACGTTCCTTGATTTATACGATATGTAAGTTATTTTGCTTCGGAATAACAATGTACATGTAACTGTGGACTCGCATAGTCAGGAAGGGCTTTTTTGGGGTCAATAGCACTGGAGAATAATTGCGAGGAGTCGTTAAAGTTTAAAATAAAATAAAATGAAATAACAATATTGCCGATATCCTGAAGTACTCTAAGTAAAAGTGTGGCCAGGGTCTTGTTGAAATGTCTAGCAGGTCCTAAATTGTGTAACTTTCAGTCTTCATGCTTTGAGAAAAGAGTAAATTCAAATTCGTTTAGTTTCACCAAGATATATGTAGCTGCAAGAACATTCCCGTCGTGCTAATATTGTTGCTAGAAAAAAAAAGACAAACAGCAGTCTCACGGTTAACACTAGAAAGTGTATTTGTACTTGTAACAAACGACGGTATAACAAAACTACCTGTGGCTTTTCGTGAAAATGATTTTTCTCTGAAAATCTATGGTTGCTGTGAATCTAAATAATATTAGATCTGTAGAGTGTAGCGTACTTAAGATACCACAATGAAAGTCAAATGCTTTTACAAGAACCTTTTATTAGGCAAGAAAATCATCGTGGTCTATACAACGATTCATTTCAACTCGAGGGGATTTGTTAGACTAGTAAGACGACAAAAACGAAAATATTTCAGCCTACTGTATTTACGTTTTGTCTATGTTGTAGATCTCCTATATGATCATGACAATGTTAAAAGTTCGTAACTGATTTAAAGTTATCAGGAAAAACACTTAAACAGTGTAGGAATTTTCCTTTCTTCCAGCAATTTCTTTAGCTAGCGAACTAATTCCTGGACAAATCTGCACGGAAAGGTTTCTTATCCTTGTCTAAATAATCAATAGTGAACCGAAAATCTTTGTTACACTTTACAACCAGATAGTACCAAACAAAACCAAAATCAGCGAGAGTGTTCAAATAATAAATGGCCCGCTTGTTGTTTGTCCGACAAAAGTTACACCGCTCACGAAGTTGTTTGTCTAAAAACATGGGCTAATATTGAAGAAAGTGATCTCCCAAAACGCGATCTACCGGGTTGCTGGGTAATTGTGACCTTGCTCCGGACAAACAGCAAAATGACCTTGTAGTTCGTTACAGTGGATATAACTGACTGTTAAATGCCCAGTCGTGGTCTTCCGCTAACTTATCAATTACGCCTTTTTTCGTCAAAGTGTATTTTAAACTAATCGCGATAAGTTATTGGCTGCTGTCCCCACTGCCACTTAACTCCGTGTGATCCCCAAGGTCACGTGCTTGTCCTGTAATGTGAACATGCGGGACTTCTCTGCAATGACAGCAGCACAATACCCAGTCATCATCAGGAATAGATAAAGTAAAACAATTGTTTAAGTTGTTAAAGCGTGCTGTTTGTCCGGTTCGGGAAGGATAACACAAAGCACAGTTACCCAGCCGACTAGTTGCACCTAGTTTGCTTAGCTTACTACCTGGCTTTGTAATATGAAGTTAGTTAGCTAAGATGTATTGATACACTCTTGACAACCCTCTAGCATAATTCCATGCTTCTTGCAAAGTTTCCAGCTACTCATTTATCCGATAAATCTGGTAGAAAGAGCTATACGCCCAAGAACGCAATTGATTTTAATTTTGATGGACGAAGTAATTATCACCAGATAACCTCTCAATGGTGGAGTAAACATATAGATTAGGTTAGACGGGCAAAAGAGAATAACCTCTGGTCCACCTGAGTCTGTGTTGAAGTTGAAAAGAGAGCGTAGAAGAAAATTTGCTGGGTTATCGATTTATTCGTTAGTTGATCAGGATATACTCAAACTGAAGTCATCAACTCTTCACCACTGGTAGGGAGTAACTTAGTAACCGCTCTCTGTAACACAAATCCTGGGGAACTGAGTCCGAGAATGGTTGTACTTACCCTCCTGTTGCTGGGCCTTGGGGCAAAGGTGGCGGAGACCCGGGACACGGGCTTTCAACGGGAGGTGATGTTGGCGGCAGTACGGACCCTCCACAGTTGCAAGGGGGACAGTCTCGCCCATCTCTTCCGTCTCTTCCAGGGAGACCCGGAGGCCCGGGAGGACCCGGCGGTCCAGCCCGAGCCGAAGGACAAAACAAAATCTGAAGAAAAACATGGAATCTTGATCTCACTAATTGAATTGTTACTATTGAATAAACTGTACGTATAAAGTGTCCTTACACTCAGTCTATGATTGATACTGAATAAACCGTATGTGTCCTTAAACTTCTATGATTGATATCAGAGAGAGCATGCAACCTGTGCCCTCGACTTTAAAGGAAAGCATATCGTCAGGTAATTTGAGAAAATAAGTAGAAGTAGTACAAGCTGTAAGATATCTTTCTGCTTAGCGGATGGGGTGAGATCAGCTAAGTAGCTAGCACTGTTTCAGCCTGCAATTCAGATAGTCCTAACAAAGAAACAGCTTTTTCGCCACTCGAGTTGATAAACATGAAAACAGTATTCCTAGTGAGAAAAGGTTCCATTTTAAGGCAGCAACGTTTCGTTCAATAACATAAAAAAAAACGATAACGAAAGTTAATAAACTTTATTTTTTCACTGTTGTTGAGGCTGTGAAATAAAGTATATTAAATCACGCAATACCTACGAAAATATAATGGGCAAGGAAAAAGACAACATTTAGATATTTTGTTCTAGTGTTCATCTATCGCCTACCTTTCCTGGATTTATGGTATACGATCTTCTGTGGTGTTGTCCATCTTGGGAAGCCAAAGAGATCACTACCACCGTTAAAAAGAGTAGTACTATTTTAACAAAACCCATTCTTTTCTTGCTTTTTTGAAAACTACGCGCGGCTTGCAAATGTGAACAGGTTACGGCTTAATTGTTTTGTTTTCACAACGAGAACAGATGAAGTGGCACGTTCATGGACTATTGTTGTTCATAGCTTGTGGTTTAAAGGTGGAGACCAATGGCAGCTGGAACAGGTGACGAATGTGCGGGTGGCCTTGACTGACATTGCTACAATCTTAACTCTCACAGGACTTTTTTCAGATTCTGTACCACATCTCTCAATTGATTTTCTGTTAAAATTCAAACAGGATGTGAATTAATTTTCCTCATTGTCTACAAAAAAATCTTTTTCGTCTTCCTTGAGACCAGTAGAAGCTAATAAAAGGAAAAGCGATCGGAGGCAATCATTATATTTCAAAATGAGTCTGTGTCGGTTTTTCCTCCCGTGATTTAGAAAATCTAAGTGGAGCCAACGGGAGATTTACAATAATGATAACGATAACGATGATAATGACAATGACAATGACAATGACAATGATAGACTACGAGTAGTCCCTTTTTCGCTTAGTCTGTCGAGCGTGACCGTAAATAAACCTGGAAGGAAAAATGGCCGCGCGAAATCCTGGAATCTAGAAACCGGGATTTCGCGCGGCCATTTTTAGGACAAATTACTATAGGCCAATTCGGAGTTTGACGAATTAGTACAAAAATTAGGTCTTTGGCTCTCGAGTTTAGAAGAGAGGTTTTAGATTTATGTTTCTTTTTTAAATGTCTAAAGGGCACACTGAATTTGACGTCCCATCGTATGTAAGCTTCGAATCATATAAGTACGATTTGAAAAATACAGAAGCCATACTTGGGTCGTTTTAGAACCACTCTGACGTCTTTAAATTCTCATTTTTTAATCGCATTGTGGATTTATGGAACGGCCTCCCTGTAGCCATCAGGTCAATTGATCAATTATCTATCATTGTTTAGTAAGAAAGTGAATCAGTTTTATATTAATAAATTTAACTTAAATAAGGAGAAAATTTTCTAGTTTTCTAATGACTTATTTTGGTTGCGATTCGTCTATATTAGTATTCTATGTATTTTATTTCTTATCTTATCTTGGCTTCCTGGAACCTTTTTGGCCATTCTTGAGGGCAAAACGCACCTGGCAGGGACCCAAAAGGACAAGATGCCACTGGGGCTGCATGTTTAGACCAAGGTTAAAGCAATTTGGCTTCCTGGAGCATTTTTGGCCTTGAGATCTCAGCGATTTCGAAAAAACATGCCCGCTAAGTTTTCGCCTGGATTATGATATAAGCTAATGCAGCCCCTGTTAAACTTGTTTACTCACTGGAAAGAAACAGAGACAGGGCTACGCACAACTTGATTTTAACCACCTTAGGGTTAATCTCTAAGAGCTTGGACGATATTTCCAAAACCAAGAGACCTCAAATTATTTCGTGAACACCTTGTCTTTAGTGAAATCGCCAAGCAAAAAAATAATCGAAAGCCTCGTTATGTGCATGATGGCAAAAATATAGCTAACTAAGACACTGGAAAGAACCAGAGACCGCGCTGCGGACATCTTGAGTTTGACCAACTTAGGCTTGATTTCCAAGAGCTTGGACAATATTTTCGAGTCCCAGTGACTTCCAAGTAACTCGCCGAGACCTTGTGCTTCAGTGGAATTAAAAAAAAGGAAAAATAATCAAAAGCTAGGTTATGTGCATAGTGGCCGACATATAGACACTGGAAAAAATGCAGACACCGGGCGGCTAAAACTTTGATTTTCACCAACTTAATATTGATTTCCAAAAACTTGGACAATATTTCCAATTCCCAGGGACTCTAAACTAACCGGTGATGACCTTGGTTTTCCCAGGCCCAGGGACTTTGAAATGACTGGGAAAAAACTTGTCCTCTACTGAGATCGACATGCGAAAAATAATTCAAAGCTTGGTTATGTCCATGGTGGCCGAAATTAGCTTACTTAAACAGTGGAAAGAAGCAGAGACCGGCTGACGCAAACCTTCATTTTGACCTACTTAGGCTTAATTTCCAAGAGCTTGGATGAAGTTTCCGAGTACCAGGGACTTCAAACTAACTCCTAACGACCTCGCTTTTCAGAGAAATTAAAAAGCAAAAAATAATCGAAAGCTTTCTTCTGTGCATGGTGGCGGAAATTTAGCCCCTGTTGGACTTACTCGGACATTGAAAAGAAGAAGAGACCGGGACTTGCAAACTTTGATTTTGACCTACTTAGGCTTGATTTCCAAAAGCTTGGACGATATTTCCGAGACCCAAAGACTTCAAACTATTTCTCTCTAACAGTGGTTATATTTCGGCCAGCATGCACATAACCAAGCTTTGGAATATTTTTCCATTGTCGATTTTACTAAAGGACAATGTCTTCTCGAGTTAGTTTAAAGTCCCTGAACCACGAAAATATCTTCTAAGGTCTTGGAAATCATCCCTAAGTAAGTCAAAATCAAAGTTTGTGCACCCCAGTCGCTGCTTATTTTCAGTGTCTGTGTAAGTTTAACAGGGGCTATATTCCGGCCAGACTGCTAATATAACCAAGCTTTCGATTATTTTTACCCCTCTCGTGATCTCACTAAGAGACAAAGTCTTCTCGAGTGAGTTTAGAGTCCCTGGGACTCTGATATATCGTCCAAACTCTTGGAAATCATGCCTAAGTAGGTTAAAATCATGGTGTGCGTAGCCCGGTCTCTGCTACTTTCCAGTGTTTACGTTTAAGGTGGCTGAACACAGTTTTCGCGCGTGCTTTTGCTGATGCAATTCAGCCGCGTACAAGGATTGGAAAAAACAAACATGCCGTCAATAGAGCGATCATTTTATTTACTCAACACCCGCACTATCTGTGCTATTTTTCTCTATAACTGAACGGAGTGTATTGATGGTCTTAGTATTTTATTACGAAGATATGTTAGAAAAGGTAACGATGCAAAGAACCCAGCAATTCTCAGCTTTTTCTTTGTTGCCGAAAGAACCCAGTTAAATGCAGCGCATACGTAGTA